TGTGTGTGTGTGTGGGGGGGGTGTGTGTGGGGGGGGTCTCACCTTGTGTCGAACACAGGATCTGTGTACATTGGGGGGGGACACAGAGGCTGCTCTGCTGGACTGTTTGGGGGCGCAGAGAGCCACACTTTCCTGCTCCGTACTGGGACTCCATCTGTAGATGAATAGAATAGAATAGAATAGAATAGAATAGAAATTCCCTTTATTGTACCGCAATGGAAATGATGGTGTTATAGCAGCAAAAAGAATATAGGAAAAAAATGGTCAAACAAAGAAAAAATATATATAAGAACTACTGGATATCTACACCTTCTTCTGTATTTTTTGGTTTACCCACTTTGCCAAAAGGTAAAAAAGGTATAAAATTATTTGTTAACGCAAAGAATTTACATTATGTTAAGTGAAAATCCATCAACCCAAAGAAATCTACGGTGGCCGGCAGGTGCAAACCAACATTACAAAATCTAAAAAAAACTTTTGCAAGTTCCAAAACAAAATATCATTTCGGAAAACGAATTTACATAAAAAAAATAAAATTAAAATAAACCCAAACACTTTAAAAAATTCTAAACAAATAGCATTTTAAGAAAACAAATAAAAAACATTCAAAACACTTACAAGTGATAATTAATGATAATTTGTTTTGGAACTTGTAAAAGTTTTTTTATGTAAACATGTTTTCTGAAATGATCATTTGTTCTGGAACTTGTAAAATAACTTGTAATGTTGGTTTGCACCTCCCGGCCACCGTAGAAATCTTACTAGGATTGTATGTGATACAAAAACAAAAAGTAGTGCATGAACTAAAGTAAAAATCTAATTTTCTGGTGTTCGGTCTTTTACAAATACAAACCCTATTTCACTTCTTGATAGCAAATTTTCTTGTCCTAACTTTGAACAACAAGCAGATTAAATTAAAAATGAGCAATTTTGAAATCTTTCTACAGGCCAGTCCAACACAGCACAAGCGCACTGCAAAAAATTGAAATCTAAATAGGTCATTTTTTTCTTGCAATAAGTGCATTTTTTCTTGAATTGAGGAGGTAAGTGAGACACTTTGCCAATGGAACAAGACAATTTACTTTTAAAATAAGAAAAAACAATTACATTGTCTTATTTCAAGTGCGTTTTCTCTAATTATCTTATTTTAAGACTAAAAATACTCCTTCAATTGGCAAATTATCTTATTTACCTACTCAACTTAATGGTAAATATTAAATTTTTTCACATTTTTAGATGATTTTGATGTGTGGACATGTCCCTATTAATACTTTATTTTTTTTCCCTTCCTGCTACTTTAGCCAAAGGTAACAAAGGTTGGATGCAGCTGTCTGTGTTCAGAGCGTTTTGAGTCCGTGTTTTTTTTCCTCCCGCGCCCTGCTCCTGTGTCCCGCCTATCGGTGTGACATCATCGGATTTGCGGTCGCATTTCACTGCGCAAGCAATGAATATTAACCGGCAGCTACTTTAATACTTTAATATTTTTCATTTTTAAATTTTA